GAGTTTCATAATTAACTGAACCGTAATTCGCTAACCGAGAGTACTACCTTAAATCACTAAATGATATGTCCTACACACAGTCATTCTTTCAAGACTTTTCAAGATTATCCTTCACAAAGACGGAACCCAGAAAAGTCGTGGAACATGAAATCAATGAAAGTGGGAACGAAAGAAGAGATCATAATAAATCCATTAGTGATGGGAAGATGTCACGACTACTAAAGGAAGGCATCACAACAGTTTTCGAAAATGTCTACAAATACAATAAGTCCCAAAAAGAAAAGCCAGATATATGTACATACATACATGTAGTAAACCAACAGATTGACATAATAAAACTTAAAGATGAAACAATTAAATACCTTTTGTTTAAGGAGGGTGGTAAGAGAAAATAACATAGATATTGATGTCAAATGGAAAAAATTTTAATTTAAATTAAATAAATGGAAATTCAGTTCATGAATTTTTATTCGTTTGAAGCAAACAATATCTCACACACGGAGAAATATTTAAACGGAGAAAATAATTATAAAGTTTAGGGGAGAGGATTATTAGACGACAACTACCCAAGTGGCAGATGGTGTAAATTATTTCTTTAATAGCTTACATCCAACGTTTCGATCACCGGATTGCGTTCATTTTCAAGGATTTAAAATACCAGAAGTCAGGATGTATCAAACAAAATTTAACTATAAAATTAAACACATGTATTTCGCGCGCGCGTTAAGGCACCTGTCACCAAGATTCGTGTTACAACGCACGTCTGACTACAATCCGGATGGTAAAAATGTTGGATGTAACCTATGAAATAAATACTTCACGCTGTTTGCCACTTGAGTCGTCTAATAATGATCTCTACATTTGCTAATTATATACTGGCAACAATACGAATAATTATATATTTCCTTAAACACATAAATCAATAAGACTTTTAAAGGCTCGCTCTGCACATTTATTTACTGCAGTTTGTAGACAATGCAAGACTGTATTTATATAATGTAGACAAAAACCTCTAATAACACTACAATTTCAATTTCATACCAAATATAGTTACGACAAAGAACAGCACTGTCCACCCTAATGTTGTTATAAAACCAATATAAACTTCCGAATCAGAAATAGAAGAATTTTTGTAAATGATTCCCCTGAAAGATTGGGAGGGCAATGTAGTTGGCCATATGTAGCTAATCCAGTCAAGCCATGTCGGCATTCCCTGTGTTGGCCAATAACATCCTATAATTTTGTCGTATATTAATAAAAATTCGATTAACGTAAGAAGATAAATTATCCGCTGTATATTGGTCATGTTAATTTTGATATTTTTTATTTAAACGTTTTATATATTACTGTAGACTAGGTATACTGTTTATATATCATTACGTAATATAAAACTAAATTTAAAATTAATTTAATAACTAATTAAAGTGAGAGGTAATTTCCGAGAAACAGATAGAGTAAAGTCTCACCAGTTATTAGTGTTGTTATTATGAAATTTCCCATTGACAAGAATACGGCCGGCAAAACAGTTGTGCAAAAGGTAGATATGACAAAACCTGCAAATGCATTAACACAAACAATCAAGGAAATTTTCATTAGATTCCGAATTGCTGCTGTACGCTTTTTGATATACAGAGTGGAGTACTCACCAGACATCATTCCACAAAACGTGATGAGAAAGAGAAGGAAGATTATAACCAATATCGATCCTTTACATTTCAAACCCCATACAGGGAAGACTATGAGAATTACCATAATGGGCTGGATAATTGTGATGATACTCTCAACAACAATGTGAGACAGCAGAATTTCTTTTGCTTTAGCCCCTATCACGTATTTACAATATGTTCACATTAATGTCATAAAATATACAAAGGCAAAGAAATATTCGTAAAGTCTATTTTGTAGTGTCATTAAAAAATTAATACCTTGGACTAAGCTTCGATTCCAGACACCCTCCACTCGATCTATGATTATCAAGAAGGAAGAGACTGTATTGCCCAAAGTGAAGGCTGCTCTGCAAAAACATATTACAATACTATAAGTAGTTTAGTAGATTAAGTTTATTTATTATGTTGGCATGACTTTTTCTTACACTGATAGAATTGATGGTATCACGAAGTCTATATACTTTAAATCAGTAGTACCATATATAGGATCTTCAAACTGAAAAGGATAGAAAATTGAATTTTTTCTCGTAGTATTACGCTAGAGAGAGAGAGAGAGAGAGAGAGAGAGAGAGAGAGAGAGAGAGAGAGAGAGATTTACTTATAAAATTGAAGATCATAAAATATACTAACTCGAATCGGAGGAGTGGCTAATCTTGGTATATATTTGCAGTCCCTCATAATAGCCTCAATAACCTCTAAAAACCATTCATATAGCTTCTTCAGTAGAAAACCTCCAATTGGTGCTTCTGTGACAAAAGACATTGTAAATTTAAATATTTATAACAAATTAATTATTTTACATGTCGTTTACGTCAAAATATTTAGGATGTACAATCGTCTTAATCTAAGCTCTTGAATTCCTTTTTGTGTGGTTTTTTAATTAATAAAACTTTCTATTTAAAGATACTTGTCTACGTGCGCGCGCGCGAGTGTTGTGTATACATACATATACATATACAAATTAATAAAATTTTTTTAACTATTCGTGGAATGCTCTGTACAACATATAGCGTACCGCTCATATCATGGAAAACTTGAATCTGACTAGCAAGAAGATCGGAATCCTTCGCCAAAGTATCATGTTCCACTCGTATTTTTAAAGCTTCAGAAAAATTATGATGAAAATATATTATACCATGAAGTTCTCCTCTTTGAACATCATATTTCGCCTCTGAAATATTGTTATAGTACTTCTGAAAACACAATATAATTAATGAGAATCATCAATAAACGTGTTAATGATAATTAATCGGTTTCCATTAATTTATATTGAATAAAATTTTTCCAATGTGTATCGGAATAAATAGGTGACAGACAAATGGATACCGAGAATACAGATAGTGCCATTTTAACCATATACATTAAAGACATCCGTGCACGCTACATTATATTTATGTGTTGTGTCTTTCGTATATTGATATTTCTAGTCCTAGGACTTTCGAGTGTGCTTTGTTCTGTATTTACTCTCGGCAACAGTGCGTTAGCCGAGTGGAGCCGTTAGTGGAAAGCCTACCCGTGCAAAACGTTAGAGTGAGCTCTTGTGATTGAAACATAAATTTGTTCGTCTTGCATTTGTGGTAAGAGCAATAAAGAGCGTCCACATACGCACTGAGTAGGCATTTTGCAAGCTTATTTGATCCTACTTTAATATATTGTATGTACAACATCATTAAATAACTACGTTACATGATTAATTTTTAAATTTTTACACCTGTGTCACAATGGAGTCCAAATTGTTCAGGAATCTACAACTGAGGTTGCTGAAGTGGCAGCTGATTTCATCATTCCAAATATTGCCAAAGTTGCTGCTGTCGCAATTGCCAGCTTCATCGTTAACAATCCCGATATTCAAGTTCTTTGGATCATCAATTGCCAAAAGTACTGAAGCCCATAGTAACATCGGTAGTAATACCGTAATAATTATTATTCTGAAAGAATTTTTATTAGTTTTATGAAATTTGCAATTGGTAAAAACTAAAAATATTGAAATATAACCTCTAGCTCGTTATACAATAACAATTTAGTACTACACAAGTATATTGAAGGAAACATTCGAAAAGGCAACATTCGAATTTGAAACAATTTTCAATTTTGTTTTGTTGACAAGAGCGTCCCTTCTGCATTATTGATAAGTTATGATGAATACTTACGAGTAATCACGGGTAAATTGGAGGCTGTTCTTCACCAATAGAGCTTTGAACCTTCTTAATCGTGAAACTTGTCTTTTCGAAACCGTTTTGTTTCCCTTAATAATTTGACTTATTAGTGTCTTAAAATGATATAGATTTGCAAAGCTTTTTATAACAATAAAAATCGTACATACTTGTAGTTGTTCATATTTGTTTCGATCGTGATTGAAGGCATCGCCACCAGTGTCTTCCATATTGGATCCCTGATCTTCAATTAAAGTGACTGCATTATTCTGTGCCTCGCACAATTTCAGGAAAATTTCATCCAATGACGAGGATTGAAATTTCTCCAGTAATTTCTGCGGCGCCGATTCAGCTAACAATTTACCATGTCTCATTAAACTGACCTGCGTATCATCCACAATATACAATATTATGCACGATCAAATTTGTAACATTTACAATTAGGAAGAACACAGCGTTCTCGAAAAGAAGGAATAGTTCTTGCTTCAGAAGAAAACCTAGCTTATATAGGAATTTTAGCGACTTCTTTATATAAATAACTAATTTTTAACTCGGTCCTTTAAGATATAAATCAATTTGAAACATAAACGCCATTTAGGACCTGGCATAAGTGGTGGCCAATTAAATTACTAACAAGTAACACTACCCAACTGATACTCACCGATTTGAATGAAACTTAACATACTTACTCGTATTGAACACCGAAAAATATTAAATACTTTTTTTTTGTCGG